CCCCAAAACCCCAAAACCCCAAAACCCCAAAACCCCTTAATAATTAGCTTATTAGAAATTTTAAATTTAGATTTATCACCAAAGTAGCAATGGATGCTAAGATGACAGATAACTCTGCCCCAAATAAGCCACAAGAGACAAATATGATGCCTATGGAGTTTGGGACCAACAAGTATAAACAAAAGAAGGGAGACACAGGTGGACATCAGAGAGAAGACTACAAGAAAGCCCTACACACTGGCCATTTTCAAGATGCTTCCAATAAACAGGATATCCATGAAGAAAGAATTAATGCTAAGGATCTTTATAAGATGCAAAAGCAGCAGGAAAAGGTAATTTTTATAAATTTCTATCAGTTTTGTTGCTACATGGCATCTCCAATGTATCAGATTTCATTGAAAATTATAGTCCCTCGATACCCTGCTTAAACACCATTTCCATTGAACTTTTAGAACCTAACCAATATTTCTTGTAGGAAAACAGTAAAATGGAGGCAGAAATACTTGATTGGAAAAAGAAGGAAGACCAATTTGAGTTCAAACAGATGGTTCTCAGATCCAAAATCAGGCTTGAAGACAATCGCCCTCAACCTATAGACCATCTCGCCAAGCTCTACTTGATTCTGGATGACCATATTGAGATTCCTGGGGATATCCAATCAGATAAAGTTCGCTTGCCGTTCAAAATATTTGAAAAGCTCAAAGTAGACGAACTAGTCACTCTCAAACAAGACCTTGAGGTCTACCTTGAAGCAGAGAGTGACTCCAGTATTCATGATGAATACTGGACATCCATAAAGCAGCTATACGACATCAAGATAATGGCTCTAAACGATGAAAACTTCTCAATTGACCAAGAAATTCTGCAAGAGATCCAAAAGCTCATCTCAGAAAAATCAGTCGGGGAGTTGAGTCTGATCCAGAGAGACATTGAAAACAACATGGAAGACCCTGAGTTCATCGAAGAGATAGATTACTGGCATACATGCATCACAAAGATTAGGGAAAGGATCTCAAAAATGAAGCTAGACAATCTCTATCTCCACTTTGTGACTCAAAATTCAACCAAAATAGAGGAAGCTGTCAAGAAAGCACAGGAAGAAAAGGAGAGGATCACTAAGGAACAACAGTCCCTTGCTTCCTCTATGAACACTGAGAAAGCTAAGGAATATATTGAGAAGTTGCAGAAAGAACTAGAGGCTCTGAAGAAGGCTCAGGATAGTCATAACATGCAGGTACCTACAGCTGCTAGTATTGATCACAAAACTCCTGCGAATGTGAGGTTCGACTTGAACGATACCTTCTCGTACAACAACATGGACTCTGCTTCCATCCCTCAGCTCAAAGAGGAAGAAGATAAGGATTATGAAGAAGACGAGAATGAGTTCACTGAGGATGTCATTTTCTTCAAAGGAATGGAGTACTCATGGAGTGGCAAATACAAGCCTAGAAAGCCAAGGTTCTTCAACAGAGTAAAGACAGGGTATGAATGGAATGCCTACAACAAGGCTCATTTCACTATGGATGATCCACCACCTAAGATTGTACAGGGGTACAAGTTTAATATATTCTACCCTGATTTGATCAACAAGCAAGAAACTCCACAATATTTCCTCGAAAATTGTGAAGACCCAGCCAAGATTAGGATCATTTTCAGAGCTGGTCCTCCTTACGAAGACATAGCATTTGAAATCGTCAATAAAGAGTGGGAAATTGGAGAAAGAAATGGGTTTAAGTGTGAATTTGACAGAGGAATTTTGCATCTATACTTTAACTTTAAAAGACAAAGATTCGCATAAAATATACATCATAACGTTCATAATTCAGTTTTAAACACCTTAGACCACCTTTGAAACATGTTGTCTCCACTTTTAAACATACTTTCAACTTCTTTTCCGATATCATAAATTCTCAATTCCTTTTGTCTGAATATCTTCCTGAGCTCTGGAGATTTGACTAGAGCTACATTCATCTGATCGCTCGTAAACAGCTCATGGGATAACAAGTACATCCAGAGGGTAGACTTGACTTCTTCTACAGGTGCTGATCACGGTAAGCTTAGCAATGAGAGCAGTTCATCTCACCTATCTTGAGCTGTCACTACTCTGAAGAAGGAATTCAAGGTACCATGTTTAGCATTCAGGGAATTCTTTTTCCCAGCTTCATAAGTCAAAGCAAGGGAAGTCTCCTGCTCTCTGAACGGTACTGTTACAGAGCTTGCAACAGAGCCTGTAAGGGAGTATATCGAAGAATCTTGTGATGACCCAACCTCAGTATTTGGAGACATCAATTTCTGATAAAATTTCCCTGGGAATGGGTTCGCAAGAAATTTTAAAACATGTGACATATCAAATTTTTGATAAACAGAAGTGATTCTTTTCAAATCATAGCATCAGAAAAATAATGCCTTCTGTTTCCTAGTATGGATTTCATCCAAAAGAGAGAGATCTCCTATGGTTCCTCTTTTCATTGCTCACCATGGATGGAAATATTTGTTTCATCTTCTGCGATCTCACTTCTTTGTTTTCCCAGTTTTGCTTTTACAATACATTCATTCAAACTTAGAGCTCCATTTGACTGGCTGAACAGAGTCGGAGACTCTGTTCTTTACATCAACTGGCATCCATAGCTCTCAGTTTTCATGGTACCATTTGTACCGATCGGAAAACTTGAGGAATCCATCAAATTGGCTTCAGAAAGCGCATTTTGCTTGCAAAATGCGCTCTCTGACTGCTTTAAGGTTGGTACCTTCACCTTGTACGAAGATGCATCTAGGGCATCTCCAATCAAGCGAAATAAGCTTCTCTTGGAGACAATCCTCATGGATTGTTCACCTACAGGAGATTCATCAGAGAAGTTCTTCTTCGAGGACTGCCTCTTCGAGGCAGTCCAAGCAAGCTTCTTTACCACCAAAATTGTTGGAAGAGTACACAAATTCTATATTTGGTAAGGTCTTTAGAATAGGCCTTAAATCAACTGCTTTGACAGATTGCTGTTTCTCAGATTCTTCTTTATCTGCTTCCTTCTGTTTCTCTTCTTCTCTTAAATTCTCGCATTGTTTGCTCTCTTGTAGATCAGGTTTGTCACTATTTAGATGGCTCATTTCAAACCTCACAGTTTTCTTCATACAAGATTGTGGTTTGGGATTTATGTGTGAAGGTTCAGGCTTTTGTTTCAAGGATGGAGGTGCAGGTTCAACCTTCTTAATACCAAATAGAAACTTTAGAGCTTTCTTGGGACTTCTTTCTCTTACTTTTTCATAATCAGATTTGTTTTTCTGCTCAAGTCATTTTTCTTGTACTTGTCGCTTTTCTTGTTCGATTTTCTTTTCTTCTTGGCTACTTTGATGTTTTTCTTTGCTCGAAGCTCGAATTTCCTCTTCGATTTCACTCACAATATCTTCATAATCAGTCGAACTCAGTGTCATAACTTCCGCTATAGTCTGACTTGGGATTTGTGAACTTTCACTTTCCATAAAAATCTTAAAATCAAAATCCAAACATCACTAAAAATCTCCTCCTAATTATACCAAATTCCCCAAATTTCCTAAATTCCTCAAAACCCCTAAATTCAACTCAAAAAACTCAAAATTTCAAAATCCAAAAACCTGCTCCATCCCAGGCTCCTTTCAAACCAAAGGGTACTACCCTTTCACCCCAAAACCTCCATCCAAACAAGCTACAGCAAAAATCCCCCCTGATCTCCTACTAAAACCAAAATTTCAAAATATCTTAAAACTCCTCTACGCTAAAATACCTATTCTAGCACCAAGAAGCTGGTCATGCCAGGCTAAAATTTTGGAGAGAACAGGAATAAGCTATATTTCAGTTTTAGAAGAAGTTTAGGGGTTTTGGGGTTTTGGGGTTTTGGGGTTTTGGGG